TAAAGAATCCTATATCTTCGGCCGTTTTGGCTAATTGTCTCGATGCCAGCAGTCGGCCGCCTTGTGCCCAGTTTTTCCGCAACTGTGGCATTTAACCTTAGACTTTTCCTTGTCCACTTCGTTTTTCGGTGCGGCCTTCTTTTTGTTCTTCCAATTTTTGTTTGCGTAAGGCTTGACCGCTATGGCGTTTTGCACAAGAACGTTGTTGTCCTTTTTTCGAGCGTCGCTCTCTTCAATTATTTTAATTCGTAGTGCTTCCGGTGCAGGTAATTCATCGCGCGACTCGATGGCACATCGGAAGTTTTCATATTGCGATGGTAGGCTGTATAATAACAAAATCGTGAGCAGATCGGGATTTATGATCACTTCCATTTCGGTCAGTTTATCCACTGCGTCGAAGAATGTGCGAATGTGTTCGCGCACGTCTTCCCCGTCATGCCATTTTTTGTAATGCGAGGCGCTTCAGCAGCGTTGCCTTTCGGGCAGGATTGATACCTTTGGATTGATATATCTCTTCCAATCTTAACCAAATTTCTCGAGATGATATGCAGCCTTTGATCTGCTTCAATTCGCTCGGGTGAATTGAAAGGATGAGATCCGACATTGCCTTGCTATCGTTGTCGTCCCATTTCGTACGAGCTTGGGCAGATATCCCGTCGTCGTCGGCAACTAGTTCCGTTTTCACGTTCGTTCCATTCACATATTTCCATGCGTTGTTTTTCACCAATATTGCTTGCATCTGCATTTTCCAAGTGTCGTAGTTGTCTTTATTGAGCGTTTTAATGCGGCTCATAGCGGACACGTTCATCGTGAGTGTCGTTTTCTTTTATGCACTTGATCACTGAGAACCTCTCTCGCTTTGTCACTTTAACACGAACACTTATCGCGAATCTTTGCCTGGGCCCATAACCTGTTGAGGAAGGATCGCGACGCAGGGAATGCTTGAACTGTTCCTTGTCGAATCAAGCACGCGGAAGATGAACGTGCCGGTGGTAGAAGCGCCATCTGTGGTCGGCGATAGCGTATTGTTAAAGCGATTTCCCAATAAATATAAATACTAAATATAATTTAATTAAGCACTAAACAATATAAGAACTATACAAACGACGATTAGACTCCGGTCAGTTAAGGGATTCTTTAAACATTTTATCGACAATTGTCATTATCGTTAACAGTTAATGACAGCTGCGCTTTCTTTCAAGATTGTCCTGTCAATAGCTGTCGCTAGTTAACGATAGCGACAATCATCGATAAGATGTTTAAAGAACTCCATTACAGGTCATTATCAATGTTAAATATGTAACAAACAATTGATATAAACATATTTAAATTATAAACAGCTAAAACTTTCATTTCGCAATATCAAGTTGGATAATAAAGATGTTCCATCGCATTTTGCTTCAATTTACAATATATTTTTATATTCTGTTATTTTTTACTTCTAGATATTAACGCGCTTTAAGATTTCC